TGTAAATTGTCATGAGGCCTTGTGTCGCTCCCCCACGCTCAGATGTTTGTGTAGTTGTTTTGTAGTATCTTTGTGAGCGGAAGATACTAGAAACATTTTAAACATTTGTTGTGCACTTTCGTCACCCCCAATAAAACGTGCTACTAGCCATGTGTTCTTCAAAGGGACTGAATCTCCTGAAATGGATTACCTTCATTCACAATAAACTGTAACTGACAGATACAGGTAGAAATGACCCATTCATTTTTAACTAAGTGCAGACAATGTTGGCATTTATTGCTACAAATACTTCTTCAGGTTCCTATGATTAGGTAGCAATCTTGCCCTTTAGGGCAGAGAGTGTATATGGCTTAAGTAGGGGCTAGTCTACAACTAGTTTTGCCTGTTTGGGTTCCTATAAGGAAAGTCTGTAGGTAACAAATTGTGAAATTTGGAGCATGCCTGTGCCCCCCATTGTAGGGCTAGAATGTGCAGTACATTTAACCATCTGTGTGCAGACCGAGTGGCCCCACATGGGCCCCAAGCTGCCATGTTTACTTGATATGGATGCTCAACAAAGTATTTCAGGGTTATTCTAAAATGTATATATAAAAGGAAGTCCATAATATACACTTTAACTTCCAAGCCAACACTTCAGAAGTTGAACCTGATCACATAATATATTTCACATATCACATATATATTCACACATACACTTAGACGTGAGTGTGTGAATTATATTTGCAAGGTCATATGTTCATGAATTGTCCAATGAAGGAGAAGGAGTAGATATATGAGGCACTTTAAGATGGTAATATCACAAATTATTGTACCTATCGGTGTATTTTGTTTGTGTTTCTAAAAAAAAATGTGTGGAGGTGATCTGTAACAGTGAACACCAAATAACCAATACTGCATTACCTGCCAAATGAAATGAAAACAACAGCAACAAATGCACTACAGCAGCTATATTTGCCTCTGGTGAGTGCTGAACCAGTTCCATCAAATTAAGTCCTCAGTGGGCATCTTGCCAGGTAATACATCTATCTCCATGAAGCAGGTAGGGAGAGCTGCCGGTGACATGGTGTGTATCCGCTTGTGTACAGAAACCCACGAGACACGTGGAGGACACAGGTCAGTGAGCGAGAACACTGCTGTAAAATAGAGATGACAGTAATTTAGTGTACTCAAAAAAATAAATAAAATAAAATCAATGAATTAGATCACATTAGTAGCTGGCACAAAATGTCCTTTAGTCTTTGTCACTGTTATCCTGAATGTTACACTTTTTTTACTGGTATTCTTTATCTAAATAAAAAAGTCTCGTCACTTGATTAAAAATAAGGCTAGAGCTGTTTAGTTTAGTTCAATGCCCTAAGCTATACAGGCTGTGCCCAGCAATGCTGTCCAAAGTCTGCCGGGATAGCCCCGTCCCACACCTTAGTAAGTTACTTTATCATTATAATATTGTAGTGGAAAGTATTTTTCTGTCCCAGAATGCAGAATTAATCTTTTAATTGTACTTTTATTCAACTTAGAAACAAATAAACAAACAGCAATAAAAGCAGTAATTAACCTCCTTAAACAGTTTCCTTTGCAGCGTTACTTCTGGCTAACTCTGTCATTTACCTCAACCCCAAAATTAAACAGATACAGAACAAGAAAATAAATAAACAGACAGATACTGCTCTGCCCTCATAGTGATTTATTTAGCATCTTTCCTGAGCTGTCAGTCACACAATCTGGTTTTTCACAACTCTCATCCTTCACAACAACACTTGGCAGCTTGATGTCCAGCCTGGGCCAAACTGTGTTTTAGAGATTGTAATCCACATGGTAAATGCAGCTTCCATGAAGCTGTAAGAAGAAAACAGAGAGAGAGTGAGAAGAGAAGGATTGAATGTCAGGGGAATGACACCTTTTTCACTGATTGCCATCCTTAAAAGTTGATGTTTGTGTGTATACATATAGTATACTGCACTGACTGTTTTGGTTTGTAAATGCTTTTACCGTATGTCTTTAAGTATTACTGAAAGACTCTGGTTAAGATTGGATTATACTGATCTCTATGACATCATCTGTGAAAGTTGGAGAACGATTTTAGCGCGTTTCTGCTTTGTCAGCCTTGAGGTGACAAAGCAATCTACATCCTGAATGTAGTAGACTGCAAGAGTACAATAATCTTGGAGCACAGTTTTATATAATAATTGGGTGCTGTGTAAATCGTCCAATATTAGCAAATGTAAAGATCATTAAAAGTAACTTTGCAGTGTTTGGGTCTCTTATATCTTATCGCAACTTATTCATAATATATAGACTGAAAGTAAATAACGAAAATAATGGAGCAACAGGGCAAACAATGGATTAAAAAGTTACTATGTAATTTTGAAACAATGTGGCTGTGATACAGTAAATTAAGTTCTTTCTGCAGTTTGCTATTTCTACAGTTTGCCAAATTCAAGCAAAGGGACTGGTATTTTTTTTTTTTTTAACAAAGCAGATCAGACTAGATTCATGCTGGCTCACTGGAGCTTATCTTCAGATGACCTCGGACTGAAAGCCTGTCTTATAGAACATTTCAAGGCAAAAGCAGATGTTTTCTTTGTTGCATATAATAACTGGCTGACACTGTTTTTGCATACGTCAACCATTGTGCATGCACACAGAAATGCCCATACTCTATGTCTAAATATACATTTTTGCAAAGACACTGAAAAAAATAAACTATTTTCAGATGCACAGCTGAAAATATGGCAGTGCTGTAACACAGAGTGCGACAGAAGTGCAGCGGTAATTATCATTTATCTAACTGAGTAATCTGCATATTAAGTACTGTTAGGGTTTCTTGCAAACTCATCCGTGGGTAAATGGGAAGGAGTGTACAATTGCATCATTAAGCAGAGGAAGGAAATTTCATTGCCATTAAAGACTGATATCAAAGGTGTGAAGGAAGTAGAGACCATCTTGTAATGGGATTATACCAGCTGCGATGCAAGTGAGTTTTTAGACCACCATTAAAAAATATATACAGTCATGTGAATAAGAATGTTTCCACAAGACCCTACGCAGTCCTGTGAAAAATTAAGAATACTCTTAATGCTTCCATAGGAATTAAGAAGAGAAGTAGCAGCCAGACTGACAATCAAATGATTAATTAATTAATTAGCAAAGGGGAGTGAGCCAAAATTCTTCCACAATGATTGATTAAAAGACTACTTCACGTTATGGTATGGTATAACCTCTTGACTGCATAGATTCCTGCGAAAATGTTGTTTTTCTCATCACTGTATGTTGATTTACTAGACAAATCTAGTTTATAGGAAAAGTATCAAGAGGACAGAGGATGAATTAAGGTTCGTACTAGTGCCTGGGGGTATTAGCTACTCTATATTAAGGAGTCAAATCGCCCACCCATCATTTTTGATATCAGCTACACACCTGTAAAGTTTCATGACTGTGTCTTACACAGTTGTGACAGTTTCGTTGGACAAAATCTGTCCATAGTTAATCAGGATTTACTTTCAGTCAGTGTGGCAAAATTTGTTTTCTCAAACTCTGTTCCACCAAAAATGAGGTGTACACAATTTGTCATAAAATAACTATAGTTCACAAGGGGTTTGTGTCAGTGTGCTTTATCAATAGAAATCTGTACTTATCTTATGCAGTAAAACAATAACACTAAGCAGCAGTGGCACAGTCTGACTAAGGGATGGCCAGTGCCCACACCTTGGAGGATGCTGCAGTTGAAGAATACTCATCGCACAAGCCTGCCTCTGCACTGTTCTTAGTGAATTTCACCTACATATTATATCTTTATGGGGATTTCACCTAGATTACATTACAGTATGGCACCAGTAAGAGCTAACTATGGACAAGGTAAAGACACATTTGAAAATATTTTGTGCTAAGTCAGTAAGACTGAGGTATTGTGAACTGAAATCTCTTATCTCATTTACTCATTATATAGTCTTGCCACCCCAGAGCCCCGGACATACCGCCTGGGAATCGAACAGTCTCAATAGAGACCTGACAGTCAGAGTTTGGCTGCCTCTGCTGATTACCACATTAAGTGAAAGTACTGTACTTCTTGTGTTTCTATAGCAACAGTTTCCACTCTCGTCTTTGGGATACTGAGCAATTGGTGGAGGAGAGCTGCAATGGCAGCCAAATCTATGCTTTTTAATTTAATCACAGTGGCTGTTGCTAAATTAATGGCAGACCATTACACATTGGGTGTAATGGTCATACCTGCAAATAGGCCTCCATTTGGACTGAAGTTGCTGATCGTGGTTACAACTCTCTGATCATGCTGCTGGTGCTTTTTTATGTTTTATAAAACTTTTTAATCACATTAATTTTAAAAAGCCTTGATAACAACATATACACTAACAAATCATAACATGAAACATAAATTAATCATATTAACAACCAATGAACTGAACCATATTACTGTAGTAATCATTGGTGGTACTGTTGTTGCATGTTTGTACATGATTATGAGTGCTTGATAAGAAGGCAACTTAATTTTTTTAGGTTTGTGAAGGTTCGCTTATTATCCATGAGGCTTGTTCAGTTTTAAAACAAATAGCCTAGAGTCGCAGGTATTTAAACCCTAGTCGGGGGTGTTCCCCTAGAGGGGGTCCTGAGAGTTTCTGACCTAGTATTAATCGCGTGAATTGCCACATGAGCTAAGGTGTGAAAAAAAATTTGGGTCATTCCCATCATCATTATTGTTCCAGTCCACCATCATGTGAGCTATTAAGATAGGAAAGATGTAAATGGGGGGTTGAAATGCTTAGGAATTGATTGTTAGGTACTGAGAACTACTGTATCCTGGATGACTGAGAACCTACAGATATTTTGTACATGATTATATTAAAGTGTAATTCACTGTACTTTTAAAAAGTGCAAAAAAGTGCAGTGTCTTGAAATGCATCTCTACTGTTTTGGGGTCTTTTTCTCTCTCTCTCTCTCAATATTCACCTTTTTCACATTTCCATCTCCCTCTCTTTGTGTCCCAGGTGTTGATGAGTTGATGACTGACAGAAGTGATGTGATAGCAGGTCTGCCAGGTTAGACAGATCAGAGCAGACCGTCTGCTGCACAGTGAACCACCTGGATGCAACACGTTACAGCATAGACAGGTAGGACTGGAGTAATATATATGTAATGAAAGATTTGGCCAGACTTTTGTGGGCAAGGCAGCTGTTTCTCCAAGCTTTCTCAGCCAAGTAATGTTTCAAGACCCTAGCAGACTTTAAAAGCATATTTTTAATTAAAAGAAAACTGACTTAATTCATTTTGACATCTTTAATTTATGAAGTCCAAAAAGCGAGAAAATTGACTGATAGTTCAAAAGAAAAATAATAGTGCAAGTCTTTAAACTCCGTCAGAGATTGTAGCCCTATCGCTTAATAACAATTAATACATGCAGGAAAAAAATAAATTTAGACTTGCGCAGCCTTTCTTGAAAAGGAATTTAGTAAAATACAATTTCCCCTAAGCCCCTTTGATGTCTCACTCTCTTCATTTTCTCTTTGCTTGCAGAATGGATTTCCCCAATTACACTGAAGGGGTGTTTGCCACAAGCAACGTTAGCAGGAATGACTCACTGGAGACCACTGAACTTCCCCCTAGTGAAATCCTGCTTACTATAACTCTGTCTGTGCTGGCCATCCTCACCACATTTTTCAACTGCCTGGTGATAACAGCTATTGCAGTCACTCGCAAGTTGCACCACCCAGCCAACTACCTCATCTGCTCATTAGCAGTGACCGACTTACTGGTGGCTGTGCTGGTCATGCCCTTCAGTATCATCTACATCCAAAAGAAGAGCTGGGTCATGGGTCAGGTGGTGTGTACCTTCTGGTTAAGTGTGGATGTCACCTGCTGCACATGCTCCATTCTGCATCTTGCTGCAATAGCCATTGACCGTTACCGGGCTATCACAGACGCAGTGGAGTACTCTCGCAAACGTACAGGAGCCAGAGCTGGTGCAATGGTGGCAGTGGTGTGGCTCCTGTCCATCCTCATCTCACTCCCTCCTCTACTGTGGCAACACTACAGTGGCAATAATGACCATGAAAATGAGTGCATCATCATCCATCCTCACATGGCCTTCACCCTTTATTCAACACTCGGAGCATTTTATATTCCACTGCTGCTCATCCTCATCCTCTACTATAAAATCTACCTGGCCGCTCAGACCCTATATATGCGGAGGGAGGCTAGCCGGGCTAGCCGTCACTCATGCATGACCAATGGCAGCATGATCCCCTCTACCTATCCTGCTGGAGATGGTGATGCCGATGGCGGGCCTCGAAGTCCTGAGCCTGTAAGCCCACCGGAAAAGTCTTTCTCTGAACCCTCAACAGAGGAAACTCCACGTGAACGGGTCCGTGTGTCTGTAAAGGCCTTTAAGTGCAAGTCACGACGGCACGAGTCACGCAGTGAATCACGTCGTAGTCAGTTATACCAAGGACCTCGAATCTCGGGCTCACGAGAGCGCAAAGCGGCATCCACGCTGGGGTTGATAATAGGGGCCTTTGTCGTCTGTTGGTTGCCGTTTTTTGTCAAGGAATTGATTGTCAACACCTGCGGTTCTTGCAGTACTTCAGGGGAAATGGCTGACTTCCTGACATGGTTGGGCTACCTTAATTCTCTGATCAACCCTCTGATCTACACCATCTTCAATGAAGACTTCAAAAAAGCCTTCCAAAAACTTGTGAGGTGCAGTCATTACCTCTGATGATTATTTATGCATGATCAAACCTGTACACCATCTATATATGAGAGGAAACAAAATTAATGGCTTCAGGTCAAAAATACTGACTGAATAACTGAGTTATTATGTCTGAAAAAGAATAATTTAAAAGAGCAAAAGGATTGATACTGGAAAAGAAACTTCATCAGCCACTTCAGCAGCCTAAATGGCACCGACTCAGCAATGAGATGGTGCGAGTTCCCAATTGAAAATCAAGTCCTGCTATTTATAGAAGAGCCTGAGACCTCATTGATGTTAATTGGAGTATGTAAAGGGACACTGAGAAAATGTGCCATCACTGACCTTTTTTGAGGCCTGAGTTCTGAGCATTAGTGATCAGCCCCATTTATACGTCTTGAAATAGCTGACCATTATGTCTGTTTCATCTAATGACCTCCCTTCTGCCGAGTCCACGCTGCTGGCTTAAATATTGGACATGTGTAAAATACCACAGTATACCAAGTTGTTGCTTTTTGTGGCTGTGATGTTATGAAAGGTGACTTGTTTTCTGACTGTTGCAATGATTGTTAGCAGAACTAGTATATATTTAGCCCTGCAAAACATTCCAAAAATATTAAACCTCCATTGATTGATGGTTTGACCTTCTTGTAAGTTAATGGTACAGGTACTGGCTTCATTTACTTGACAGTCTAAAAAGACATGGGAAGATATGGTCTAACTTTCATAAGATGTCAATGCCTGAACTTAACAAATAATATTTTAAATGTTTACAATTAACAGCGTAAAATGTAATTAATATAAAGAAAAAAATTTTAACATCTAGGGCTAAGTCATACCATAAATAACAACAAAATACTGGGGTACCAACATAAACTTGACCCTAAGACTTTTGAAAAGGTCTACTGTTACAAGTTATACAAAGCACTGCCACTTTTATTGATTTTTTTTCAACATCATTTGATTATTTCCTATGGTATTTATATATTATTTATCTAGTGGAACCAACACCCCATCTAGCTTCACTCCCACACCATAGCTAGCATTAGATTAATTGAAGGTGAGAGTCACTGGTGGAGAAATCCTCATTACACTACTCCCACTCAAGTACTTGGAATAGAACTACTATTTCTTTATTGGTTTCAAGAGGGCACATGATATGTTGATGGATGTGGATGAGTCAAGTGTGAGGGTGTACTGTATACCAATGAGATAATATAAGGCATTCCATAAACGTATATAGATCTCTGACAGTATGACCAGTCTGCTGTTTCTTCCTTTGTTTTTCACTGTCTAAATAATCAATAATAAATGGTCCACAGCTGAAATATTTGTTCCTGTTCTTCTCCGAGTTAAGTAATTGTTTAAGGAGAGAGTATCACCATATTCCCTGTATGTATGGAGAAAATGGTAGCAGGAATACCAATGATAAGCTGTATGTGTAAATTAATGTTATTATGCTATATTACATCAGTCTGCTTACTGTTTAATGTGAATAGAGTGGATATTTTCCATATTTTGATTTGATGGTGCCCCCTTGTGGCAAGAAGAAAGACACTCTGATTGGTTAGTACTGTCTTTCAATGCTACAGCAACAAGATTCATGAATCTGAAAATACTGCTCACTTACTCTCATCGGTCAAACAAATAAAAGTAATTAGAAATAAGCATTGCTGTGCAAGTTCTCTCTGTGTCAAATGTTTGTGGATAATGTTTTTACTTACATCATAAACACTGTTCATGTCATGATGAAGATCATGTTTAAATGTTGCCTAAGCATAGGAAAGAACATGTTTAAATGGCATCTTTTCGCACTTGTTTCTTCAAAATGACATGCATTTATGTTCCGGTGTGTGTGTGTGCGTGTGTGCGTGTGTGTGTGTGTGTGTGTGTGTGTGTGTGTGTGTCAGTCAGTGAGGAGTTGCACTGTCTCACTGGGAGAGCTGATAAAGCTAGAATTCCTGCCAGATGGACTACGTTACACTGCAAGTGGGTGTCCCAGTAGAACATCAGGGCATTCCAATTGTCAGTCCCGCCAGTTGTATTCACTTACAAGCACTATAGCATTTTCCTCAAACAGAACCTGTCGCAGGTTTGCCCAATTTATTTCAACAGTTTCCACATTAAACTTGTAGACTTGTAGGCTGCAATAACGTACCCCATGTCCATACAGACAAAGGCATTTGAAGTGCTTTTCACAAAAAGACAAAGGCCACATCTGTTGGTTATGAACAGAGCTTCTTCTAACTATAGCTGCAGCATAACAGCTGCTTCATTAAATAGGGAATACCAGTGCAGGAATAAGGCAGAGACAAGGTATAATATACTCTACTTTCATATCCTATACCTAAGCAAAAAAAGAACTATTATCAGGGGCTTTGGATTAGTGAATTTGCCCACTAATAAGGATATCAACATACTGCGCCTGACCCTCTATGGGCTTTTCTGATGTTAATGTTATTAGCAGTATTTTATTGAACAGCAATACAAGAAACATTGCCCGCCTGTCTGTGTGTGTGAGAGCAACATTGATAGGGCTTTATGGAACACTAAGTTGTTAAAAGGTGTTAAGTAGGGACCATTTATCTTATACTACATAAAATATCTTTTTTGAGAGTTCTTTTAATTTCAAAAGTACAAGTAAATTTGGCATGTTGTAGTACAAAAAGCACGAGTATACACCATAAAGGCTGAATTAAGTTTAGTTACTTTACTTCTAGTATTTTGGTACTGTGCATATTTTATGCCAGATGCCCTTTCTCATGCAATCTCCATCTGGATAATTCATCTGGGCTTGGGACAGGAGCAAGGAGTACACTGACTTGTGCTTCCCAAGCAGCTGCACCATGTGAGGTATAGTTTGAAGACTGTTACACTGACAAAAAGACAGGAGGACAAGCTGGAGGTGGCACAGCTAAATATGTTAAGATTTTCAATGGGGTTGATTGTGATGGACAGAATTTGAAATGAGTATATCAGAGGGGCAGCTCAGGTGAAGTGGTTTGGAGGAAAAGTTTGAGAGGCAAGGCTGCAATGATTTGGACATGTGCAGAAGAGGGATACTGGATATACTGGACGGAGAAAGGTGGTATGGAAAAGGGTGAAGTGAAGGCAGATGATGCCCTGTGGCGACCCCTAAAGGGAACAGCCGCAAAAAGAAGAAGTAATATTTACCTATATGTGAATAACACCTGTGCAGTAGGACTAAGTCCCATTCTGCATTCTTCCTATTGAAATAACAGGTATTATTTTAATTAATGACATTTCTCACTTCTCTTTTAATTATGAATTTCTAACCGAATTCCTCTTTGTGATTAAAGATTCACTTAATAAGCTGTAAAAATGTATTGTCTGATGATGCAGCATGCTAAGGATTAGATTAGGAATTCTAAAAAAAAAAAGAAAGATTATTGTCATAAATGTGGGTAATTGTTATTATTTAAGCCACGTTTTACAATTTTTTTTTTTTGGATGAGTCTGACATGTAATATATATTATATAAGAAATACTGATTTATGCAAAGTCCCCTATTACAAGTGAATAGCTATTTAATACTATTTTAAGTCATAGTGGGTACCATCTTTCATACCGGATTTCCTATTGGCAACAGCCGTACAAGGAACGTACAAGGGTTAGTGACAAGGATAATTGCGCGGTTGCCAAGTAGTTAGTATCCTGTCGTGAGGAATCGGAGGACGCTTTCTTACCAACCTGGCAACTTTGAGTATGCGCTGGATACGGCAGACAGTATGGCGGACAACGAAAGTGATTTGGAAACAGACGGGCTTGAATTAGCTCTGGACACGTTGTGTGCTAAACACTGCAGCGGCGAATCGTCACTGAAGAGCAAAGAGTATTGCTCTGAGTTTTGTGAGGTATGTCGGGTGAATTTATATCCTGTGATTTACGGAGTCGGCGTTTGTTTATCGCTAACGATGCTAGCTTTGAGAGCTAATGCTAGCCCCTGAGCAGCTCTTTTAATGCAGTTATGTGTTTAAGGCGGAGGCATAGCACATCAGAGACAGAGCAGAATTAGTTAGTCAGAGTTTACAGGGACGAACTGGACTTTTGGGTGTCTTATTTTTGTATTAGTGTTTGTTTTTTTGTTTGACGTTAGCTTTATAGCTAGATAGTAAAGCTAAGCTAATTAACGTTGTGGGCTTAACAAGGTTTGATGAACGAGGGAAATGGAGCAGTTTCTACCCTTGCTGCCTAGAGTTGACATCAGTTGATAAAAATGCAAAAAGACGTACGTACTGACAAATGGTAAGTTATTTTTAGGGAAAAGCAGGAGCGTGGTTTCCTTTCACAATGCAAGGTGCCCTCGAAGTGAAAAAAATACCATAGCTGACTGCCAAATCGCAACTGAATTGTTTCACTATCCAGAATAACAGTACTCTGTTTTACATATACACACTTGGAATGCGTTTATCTGGGAGCCAAACGTTTGGATAGCTAGTCGGATGAATTGGCTTTTAACTATCCTAGAGCATGGAGCTTTAATTGCGTAAATTAATCCATAAGTTCCACCAGTAGCTGTACTTAAAGTTTACAATTTAATAAAGTTGATTAACTTTACTATTATAGCACTTATACTTACAAACACGCAGTTGCGAAAATGCTTCACATTTAGGATAAAAGAAACATCCCTCAATAAAATGGCACACTGTAACTACCACATGGTACCTATACTCAAAGGTGTATGATGTATAACTGAAATTAATACACATGGTTAAAACAAAGAAAAAAAAATACGGAATACAAGTTTATAGTGTCTGCGAAATGAGTAATCTAAAACTGTGTTTTAAAGTGGACATGAAACACTAAACGTATTAAGGCTAATTTACACCATGGAATCTCACTCTACAAATGGTCATAGATTTAACACTATTTTGAAAGCGGATTTAGGAAATAAGTGTTTAAAGTTTCAGTTTTTAGATCATCTGTAGAACCACTTGTGCCTATATGTTAGCTAACTAGAGACAGAATTAATAACCTTGTACAAACTATAAAGCAGTGTATGAGGGTCACTGTTGCCTATGTCTGTAGCAATGACTTTTATTTTAAAAACAAAACATGGATATACTGTTCATTTTCACTCTCCATTTCCCACTTAGTGGTTCTTTGTTGTTGGCTAGCTGCACTGAACCAGGAAAATCCACCTGTTTGGGCTTGTGCTTTATAAATGAGCACTGTGTGGAGGAGAGCCTGTCTGATTCAGGTGCACTAGTGGTTCACTGGACCAACAAGCTAAATTTGAAAATTCAAGGATAACAGTAGTTATATTTTATCATTACAAAATATCATTTCAATTAAAGAGTTTGGCCATACTTGTGGATTAACCATTACAGAAACATTTATTTTTTTTGATAATTATGAATACTGTTAAGTTATGAGAGCTGTGGCACAAACCTTAGATTGGGTGATAGTCTAACAAATGTGTTAGACATCCATACAATAAATGTCTAATGGAGATGTCAAATAGAAATGTGCATTCTAATGAACATTTCTATTTGATTGTGTTACAGTGTGTCTTATTTATGTTCTTATACTTTGGTTCTAAGATCCAATTTGTGTTCATATTCACACAGCACATCCACCAGCTGTCTTTATTATCCAAACAATGTCAGTTAGAATTCTTCTTGGTTTTGATCGTAGTGTATTGTTAAAACATTAGTACTCTGATGTGCAGTGTGGACGGATAATGAGTTCCACCATTTCATATCAAATCACTATTTTCTATATATTACTTGTTTTTAACTTTTGGCAGCGTAAACCTTTCTGTTGTAAACTGTGTTAGATGTGGGATGAAAAACATACAGCTTTTAGCTGTCATGCATAGGATTCATTTAAGTCTTTCACATTTCTGTTTCATTCCTGGACAGCTTGTTGAGGAGTACACAGGGCAATGGCAAGTTCCTCTCCCGCAACTGAAGGTGCTGCGGACCGCACTCTACAATTTTACCAAAGCCACCACTGCCTTTACAGATGACTGTCAGCACATCCAGTATGTTCTCAGCAGTTTGGCCTTGTAAGTGCAATGTTCACTGGAAGCTGTTTTAATGTGCTGTATTGATTGTAAATAAATTTATTTGAATAGCTGAACCCACGTATTTGGTTCGAAAATTCTTAATTGCCTAGCAGAGACACGACATAAAATGTTATTTCTAAAACAAAACTGTGAGACAGTTACTGTGAAAAATCAGTGTTGAAAATAGTACAGAACATTTTCTGTAAATCAGTGTTTGTTGATGCTTTCAGATAAAATTTAAAGGCTGTAGCTTAAATAGAGGTGAACCATAAATTCATGGAACCCTTTTTTATCTGTTGGGAAGAGCTGGAGCTCCGTGTCCAAAAGGAATAGCAGAGTTGTATTTGCTGCCTGTCTTTGAAATAGAAAAAGACACATATTGTTTTAACTTGAATCATTTGGTAATGAGCAGCACAATTTTGAGTTGATCACCTCTCCTTTAAAACTAGCACTTGTAAGGCATTCATGTTCTGGTGGTTGTGACCTTGGTGTGAGATATTTTTCTAATGTCTCTGTCATTGTCTTGCAGGAGCTTCTTTGAACTCATGCTGTTTTTCAGCAAGGAAGAATTTGTGGAAGAGCCTTTAAAAGACATCCTTGACTCTTTTCAGGTGATTAAAAACTGACCTACTGTCAATTCACAGTACAATTTTGTAAAAGCCAGGTGTTTTTACAGGTGCTGAGTTTTAAACTAAAGGTAACAATACTTGTCTCAAAACTGCTGCCAGTTTCTTCTTGCACCAATGTTTTATGATTGAAAATAGTGACTAACTCAGCTTCCTTCTATAACATTAAGATTTTGAATGAACGTCTTCTCTGCAGATTTGCCACACTCGCCTCATGAGGCACAGGAACATCTACCTTCAGCATGTAAAGCAGATTATTAAAGTAGGAGGCCCATGGGAAAATCCTGTGTTACAGGGAATCCTGAAGGAGGATGATTTGCCACCAAACGACGGTAGGCATATGTGACATATAGGAAATAATACAATGCCTGTCCAAAATAAGAGGTCATACATGCTTATATTTCATTGCATTGCCTTTAGATTTGATGAGGCACACATAAGTTGTGATAAAGTTTCAAATAAGCTTGGGCAATGTCACCACATTTACAGAGTTGCATTAAGTTTTTTGCCCAGATCTTGTATTGATGGTAAAGGACCACTGCATAAAATCTTCCAAAGATTACATCAGGGTTATTCTCTGGCTCTGTGATGACCACTCCATGTATAAAAATCATTTTTCATGCATGGAGTCATTTTTCATGCAATCACTTCTTAAGAAATTAAGTGGGATGAATCTTGGTATGTCATCTTGGAATACGATAAGAAAATGGCATGTAATATCACTGAAACTTGACCTGGCCTCTTGAAGAAACCCCATTTCAACCCCTTCTTACCCTGATACACTCATTATTAAACAAATTTTGTTACTAATCTACCAAATGTTTCAGTCATCTTCTGTCATGATCATCTCCCTCCCCCCCAAAGCAACCACATTTCGTTCTCAATACACCATTATATCTATCATCACGTTTTTAATAATACATTGCACTGTCATTGCTTATATATAAATATAGGCAATGACTTTATTTTCAGCAGGTAGTTCATATTAATACCCATCCCATGAGATTTACATTAACACATGTAATTACCTTCTATGCAGTTGAGGACTACGTGAGCTCAGAATTGCCAGTGTTCTTGGAGCTGCGAGTGCGATATCTGCAGGCCTGTGAACGAATGCAGGAGGCAATGGCTCTTGCTAAAAGCTGCCTGGAAAATCGTGAGGCTGGAAAGCATCTATACTTCCATCAGGCCTACTTGACCTGCCTCTACAAAGCCTCGCTGCATGAAAACCTTTACAAGGAGGTGAGAATTGAAGAGCAGAACAAGTAACCTTGAAAGAATTAGTGATAGGCGTTTCTAAAAATGGACATGGATGAATAAGAAAGGGGGGAAAAATGCATTATTTAGTCTTATTTATTTGTTGATCTACTATGTATTTAAAGTCTATGTTCAAATCAACCCAAAACAGGAAAATAGTTAAGGCTATCCAGTTGTTCAGTGATGACGCGACGGATCCTACTTCCGGGTCTAAAGTAGTCTGCGTTTAATATGGCTTTTGTGTTGTTAACATGTTTAATGTTATGTATTTTCTTCTATTTGATCTCAAAAAGCTCCTAAAACAGTCAGTGATCACTGTTGACCTCTCTCGGCTTTTATTACCGCTAATCATTTATTTAAGCTCAGTTTTTAAAACCTTAGGATGTAACTACAGCCCAGCCCATGCAGCAGTATATGAATGACTAACCTCGTATTGTGGATGGATTATCTCAGTTGTTCTCCTGGCTGAAGGTTGGTCCTTTTACAGCATCCTGCCATGCGATTACATTTGTTCCTGTCCACCGAGAACACTCACGTTAACTTTTATCGAGTGGAAAAAAAAGTTAGCTTGTTTATATTATGCTAACATAGCTGTGTCGCTAGCGGTCACGTAGCACATCATTATATACCAGCTAGCCCAACTTCAAGTAACCCTACAAACGTCACTGCTGTTTAGTTTTCTGTCTTCATTGATGTTGGAAGTGATAACAGAGCTGTACGTTTTAATTTATTTCCAAAACCCCGCAGTCAGGACATGCTATATTGTATTTAGATAGAAGCTAGCGAGCTAACTCCCTGCTAACTTCTAACTCCGTTAAATGTCATAAATTCTGTTTTCATGGATGCCTGGATGTTAAACTCAATTGTTACACCTGGTAGAGCAGAACGCTGATCATTTTATTAAAGATGAAAGACTTTAGACAGTTTTTCTACTCTCAGTAATGCCATAGTGATCGTTTGATATATGGACCTGCAGCGGAGTTTAGGTCCAGACACGGCTAGTGACGTCAGACTGAACAACCGGATAGTATATTAGTAAATATGATGTAACTGTATCACATATAATAGGTGACCATTTTGCAAATGAAAAGCTTTGTGAATGCCATACATTAACTATAATACATGTTTTATAATAAATAAATGTATATGTGTATTTTCTTAACTTCTTCCTTAGATGGCAGAGATAGATGGTCGTGATGCAGTGGAGATAATCTGCAATACAGAGAGTGTTGAAAAAGATGAGCTGTTGTTATCACTGTGTAAAGCTTTTCTTACACAGCAGCTACACAATGGAGACATGTATTACATCTGGTAAGTGTGACCTCATATAAAGGATTCAGCAAATATTCAGACCCTCTATAGGCTTATCAGGCCAGATTTCAGTAGTTTATCCCATTCCTTTTTGCAGATCCTTCCATGATCTGTCAGATTGGATGGGTACCATCTGTAAACTGCCATCTTTGGGTCTTTTAACATATGTTCTATGGGACCATGTCTCAGGTTTCTGTTACACTCAAGGACAATCAAACTTGTACTGAAAGTAAAGCTTGCACTGTTGTCTTGACTGCATGCTTAAGGTCTCTTGTGCAGGTCTTTTTTTCCAGCCCCCTTTCTGAATTTAGCTTTGTTTATTCTTTCCTTATTTTTGACCAGTCTCCTTGTATCTGGCACTAAAAAGCTCTGGAGCGCTTGTGAGGGGGAAAATCTTAAAGCTTTACATTTATTAAAAACTTTTTATTGACTGTCCCTCTCAACATCTCCGTTATAGAAGTCTTAGAGTTCTTAAGAGAGTTCCTTTGACAGAACTTTTTTTTTTTAGTAAATGTAAGGGATTTGATTATACATTTTGGTGTGCCACAGCAAAAAGTAGAAATATTTTAAACATATTTTTACTTTTTGGGCAGGAGGTTATTGACTATAGAGTGAAAGAAATAGCAATTTTACTACAATGGTGTGTCTCTCTCCTGTCAGTTTCTTCAGCCAGATTATGCAGGGTTGGGTATAGGGCATATCTTTGAATATGGCAGTAATGTGAGTTGTTGAAGTGATAACCCCATTACAGTGCATGACTTTATTTAATTATTTTAAATGCTTTAGCATCTCTCTGTTTGTTGACTTAATATCATAGTTGTTGCCTGATTAAAATCATACCTGAACTAGATGTATATGTCTTTATGCAGGGACCTGGTGTTTATCTGGAGCAGACTGTATCTTAGGGCCCATCCCTCCAGACAAGGCTTCTTAGCTGAGTGCTTGCAGCTGGCCTCCTCTGCTACCAATGTCAGAGCCATCTTCCCCTTCATAAAATTGGTCACTACAGAGGTGAGATGTCATTGCAGCATCATCTTTTGTCGCCCTGTTAAATCGTAACAGTTTCTGTACACTGTCTATAGTGTACAGAAACAGTTTAAAGTTGTGTTTTTAATACTGTTAAATATTAGTTAAATGCTTTGGTTAAACTGTTAAAAATGTAAGTACTGCAGACATTTACAATTGGCAATTGAATATTTTTTTCCTTTTGATTTGATTCTTATATCTGTTTTAATCAGATTTATTCATCTGTGTTTATTTCCTTTTGAATAGCTGGGTGGTGATGGAATTCAAGTTTGCGTGGAGCTTTGCGCCAGGGCCCTGCAGCTGTGTGACATGCAGGCTGACACTGTAACCCGGTCACTCGTTTGCAAGACAATTGCCTTCCTGCTGCCCCATGACCTGGAGGTCTGTCGAGCGTGTGCCCTTCTTGTGTTTTGCCAGGAACGAAGCTTGGAGGCATACCGAACTGTCTCCCTGCTTTACATGCATCCTGATCAGGAGCCGCATCCCCACAGCAACCCTGTCCGGACCTGTGTTCGCTTTCATATTCTTCAGGTTAGAGGGGGTGATGCGATATATGTTGAACTTTATCTGATATGGGCTATATTTCGATATTATAACTGTGTGATTTGTTTACAACTGTGTTTTGCATGATTGTTGTTTTTTTTTTTTTTTTTGTTTTTTTTTTTCTTTTCCCAGATGCTAAAGGAGCGCCTATGTTTTGACCCTGAATTTTGGAACTTCCTGACCCTTAGGACACATTGTTTAGAGTTAATGAATGATAAGGTTGTGACTGCTGCTGTTCTCGACGAGATGGAAGAGGAGAAGGCATATAGTGAAGAACTACTAAAAAGTAACTGTGTAAATGAGTCATGCACTCAAGACTCCATCTCTTGCAACTGCACTGAAGCTGGATTTGTGAACCTTCCAGAAGAGCAAACTGTAGATGGAGAGGCTGGAAAACGTGTTGCACTGTCGGATAATGATTCTCTGAAGAGGAGGAAATGGAGAAAAAGGCTACGACGGAGAAAACGGCCTCGGTCTGATGATGAGTTTGAAATAGGTGATGATCCAGAGATCAAATACAATGTCAAATCAACCTCTTTAGGTAATAACTCTGTGTACTCACTAAGGCGCAATCACACTAACAAGGAAAATTCTTCTGTAAGTCTCCCTCTGAACCGCAATAGGGAATACTTGTCTAGATGTGTTAAGAGCAAAATTTTGAAAAGAAAAGGTCAAAAGAAAAGATGGTTGCAAGGTCTTCCAAGACTGGAGCTGGTACAGGCAGTGACAGAGAAAAAGGTCAAAGTTAGAGGGAGAAAACGGGGAAGGAAGCCATTATCAAAACTGGAACTCTCATATCCCGATAATGAAATATACCTTAACAAGGAGGAGTATGGATTTGAGAAAAAAATGGACACAGAAGACAAAGAGCAGAATATGCCTCAACTGAACTGTGAGCTTGAAATGAGTGACCAGAAAGAGAACCAACTTGGGCACTTGAACAGAGAAAATGGAGAACATAATGATTTGTTTTATGAAATTAAGAATGATAGGCAGATGAAAGACCTGAAAGACAATGAATTTGAGCAGATGACAGACTTTAAGGAGAATGGAGAACATCCTGATTTGGCCTTTGAAATCAAAAGCGAACAGAGAGCATATCAACTCGAGAAGATGATGGGCCCTAAGAAAGAAAATGGAGAACATAATGGCCTTGATTGTCATAACACTTTAAGTGAACCATCCCAAGAGGAATCTCAAACACAGGTGGAATCCAAACTTTGTGAAGGTCCACCCATTGAGAATCAAGCTGCTATCGGTATTGCTGAAGCTGATCCTGTGGACCTTGATGGTCCACTATTGGAGTTATTGGATTGTCCAGTAGAACTCTTTCACAGTTACTCCTTTAAATCCAAATCACCTGACAGTGAAAATCCTCAACCGCCCGAATCTACAGCATCTGAGGACCTTAATGGCAGCAATGAAGAGGAACCCCATCCGTCAGTTGAAACAGAAACAACAAACATTGAGGTTAGTTATTTCTCCATATTTACATTACTGTGCAAGTGTCTCAAGCCTCCCTTATTGTTTTTTGCTGGGATGCGAAAGAGGAAAGGGATGCAGTGATTTATTTAAACATGCACACCCATGGAAATACAGGCAGAAACAAAGTTTGTACAATTCTAGCAAGTCAATTAAAGTCAATATTTGGTATGAACACCTCTATTCTTGAACTCTCTTAGGCAAGTTTTCCTGTGGTTTCTTTAAGTAGTCTTCAGGAATAGTTCTCCCAGGACATTCAAAGCTCCTCTTTGGATGGTGGTTGCCTTTTGTTCTATTCTTTGTCAAGATGATCTACACTTCATTCAATAATGTTGAGGTCCAGGTTCTGGAGAAGGCAATCCATGATTGATAGTGTTCCACTGAGTGTTTTTTCTAGTCAGGTACACTTTTCTGCACTGACAGAGTGTTTGGGGTCATTGTCATGCTGAAAATTAAGCCACTGCCAATCAGATACTTTCTGCATGGTATTGTATGATGACTCAAACTATGACCAGACTTTTCTGCATTTATAATAGGATCAGTTTTGACAGTTAACCCAGTATCACTGGAGACCAGTGTTGGGCAAGTTACTTTAAAAAGTAATTAATTATAGTTACTAGTTACTTCTTCAAAAAAGTAACTGAGCTACAAGATTCTAAAAGTAATTAATTACTTGAAAAGTAACTATTGCTACTTTAGAAAAAAAAAAGTTTAATCCTCTGGGGTCCAGGGTATAATTAGCCATTTTAACCACTTTTGATTTTCCCTCTACATTTCACCTTTAAAAACTATTTATTTGCCTTGTTTTGTATCATTCTTTCCAGCACAACCTCACGTGTCTGAATTTACAGTTATGCTTTCATTTTGAGATACTATATTAACACAATTGATCTAAAATCAGACATAAAACATAAAATCTGAGTAGAAAAAGTTATATTTTTTATTGTAACAACCACAAACATGTTTATTGAATCATATTTCATAACTTTAAATGCAAATATAAATTGTCAGTTTTAAAAGCCTATGCACAAGTTTTGCAAACAAGTTATTTGCAGCTTTTTACCTTTTACTCTCTTTTTTTAAAATAACCATTTCAAACTATTGACAGAACAATCAGCTGTTCTGCATTCAATACGATGCCACACAAATTATTTGTGCCACTCCAAAAAAATAATTTCTGTCCATTATAAAGGAGAACATACAGCCTGATACCTGCAGGTCTGACAGCAGCAGGTGTATCACTCCTGTTTTCTACCTGGAGATAGCAGTCACCTCGTTGTTCTGACACACAACACAAAACTATCCGCAACACTACACACTAACTACACAAGACAACACATTAACTACACACTCCAAACATGCTAAATGTCAGAAATCTCAAAACTCGCTCTCTCTCTTTTTCTGCTGTCTGTCTGTCTCTCCCTCCGTCTCTCTCGCCGTCACTTGTCGGGATGAAATATTATTTTACATTCATAATCTAGGTTACTAGTCATAATCCTTATTATTACTGTTGCATCACTTATGATTTATCATTATTATCATTTCATTGACACATTTATTATTTATTAATATAATGTAGTTATATTAAAGTCGGTATTTCAGATGTTATTATTTATTAATATAATGTAGTTATATTAAAGTCGGTATTTCAGGTGTTATTATTTATTAATATAATGTAGTTATACTAAATGTGTCAATGAAATGATAATAATGATAAATCATAAGTGATGCAACAGTAATAATAAGGATTATGACTAGTAACTAGAGCTGGGCGATATGAGATTTTTTTCATATCACGATATGTTTTTTTTCATTTCAGGCGATAACGATATCTATCACGATATAAGCCAAATAACTATATTTGTAAGATTTAAATGTGCCGTTGCTCACAAGTAAAATGTGAAATAATCAGCAGCTTATTTTTATTTAAATATTTATTTCCCATAATAAGTTCAACAGGGTAGATGTACTTAAGGAACATGAGACTTTTTCAGATAAATAAAGGCAAATATTGCAAACTACACAAAAGGCAGCCACTAAAGCGTTTAAGTTTCAAAATAGAACAAACGAAACAGACTACTAAATTGTCAATTCCACTTAGAAACAAAATATTAATTCTAAAAATAAATCTTAGTTTGTTTTACAGAAGAACAGACAAAACTGACTAACTTTTGTCAATATCAAATAAACTGAGAACTAAAAGGAAATTCTCAATCTCTCCTTGTTGTATAGCTGAGCTTTTCAAACAGTTTTAACAGTTACTTTAGTCTGACAAAAGCCGAATGACGAATTAGCGCTTCCAGTCAGAGACTGAGGCTACGTCCACACGTACACGGGTATTTTTGAAAACTGAGATTTTCCGTTTTCGTTTTAAAAAATAATCCCGTCCACACATAAAGGCAGAAATGAAGGAAAACGCTGCTATGAACATGCCAAAGCAGCAGGTGGTGCTAGATTCCTAACCGTGCAGAAATGTTGGCCAATCAGAAGTCTAGAAGCCTCGGTGGGAAAAAGTAAACAAAGCTGGGGCATAGAAGCAGAACCGAGTCGTATGTGTGGACGGACAGTAACTGTGTGTATATGTAAGCATTTAAACACTGCAGAGAGTAGAATTAACAGTAACAGTATTGTAGAAATTCATTTCACCGAAACAATAACGTGGCGCACAGTGTGACGCATGCACCAGTTTATTGTATTTCCAGACTTGCTTTCGGCACAATTTACAGTGCACGCTACTCTGTTTTTTGTCAGACTTGAAATAGCCGAAATACCTTCACACTACGGAACTTCTATGGCTCTTCCGTTCAACAATCTCTCCGGCATTGGAACCATCATCTGTTTTCTCTCCGGTCACGCTCGGTTGATTTTTCTAGTCGGCACACTCATTTCCTCCATTACGCGCTCGCTGGCTGCTTCCCAAACAAACACATGTGCGGCTTGGCACTTGTGCTGTAAGTAACAAGTCACGCGACGTGACGCTGCGGCTGTGATTGGTTCGGCCCTGTGCTACTTAATTTGGATTGGCTGACCTTTTTTTAGAGGACAAGAGCGGCGAGGTCTATCGCGATAGCTTAATTTCTCTATCGAGTAAAAGTTATATCGCGATACATATCGTTATCGTTCTATCGCCCAGCTCTACTTGTAACCTAGATTATGAATGTAAAATAATATTTCATCCCAACACACTCCTAAAACTTCCATCTTCCTAAACCAAATGTCATTTTGCCATATCATTTTTGATTGGTCGACATGGTGCATTTTTCCACCAACACGAACGGGCTGTTTTGTTTGTTTGTTTTTTTGGTCTTAAGCAGAGAGTGCTTGCTAGCGCTGTCCTTAGACGTTAACGTGACGAAACTATTCAGGAAAAAACATGCATATATATTCTTTATCATGACTCAGACTTTTGCGTGGCCTATCAACACAATTTAAAAACTGGTACATATCACCTTGTTGCTTTGTAATCTTAAGCAGCGCGCGCGCTCCCGCGGGCACCAATCACTTTCTGGTAGACGATCTGGTAGGCTTTTCTAATGACCATTAGAAACGCCGTTGCTTGTAACGCCGTTAATCCCATCACTGCTGGGGACTAGGGCTGCCACGATTTGTCGACTAGTCACGATTACGTCGACTATCAAAATCGTCGACGACTGATTTAATAGTCGACGTGTCGTTTGAAGCTTTGTAAGATCGCAAAAGACGCAGGAATAATAGCAGGATTTAAGAGTGTAATAACGGACTGAAACAGAAGATGGCAGCACAGCATGTACAAGGATGCCAGCTGCCGTTAAACCCCGAAGAAGAAGAAGCAGCTGTGTCCCAGAATTCATAGCGCGGCCCAGCTTAGTTTCCAACAATGGCGGTAGCTAGTTAGTTTTAATATTACTCTTATTATTCTTTCTGGGTCACAAAATAAACGTTTAACATATTTTCAGGCGAGAATGTAGCTGTGTAAACCTCAAATATCTGCTCAGTTTATCAGGACACCACATATTTTCAAAAGCGCTCCGACGTTTTCGGAGACGTCTGTTACCCACTAGCTCGATAGCTAGCCGGGGGCTAGGTCACTAGCGCCGTGAGAACACCGGACTCCCGGCAAATTGTTTTCAAACCCACCGCCGTCTTTCGCGACTCAGGTTAAATATATATGAGTCACTTAGATAAATTAAAAATGTTATTGTTTGGCTTTTTATTAGTATTTTATTTGTTCCTGAGTAAATCGGTTTGGCTGAGATTAAAGTTATAGTTTTTACACAGCTGAATAAACGTCAAGCAGACAGCTGATTATCAGAAGTGTGAGATGCTGGAGAATATACTCCGGTGTCCTGTTATATTTTAGATAGCAAGGAGTTTATTAAACTTTACCGAAACAATCTGCAAATTTCATTAAAAATTAATAAACTATCATCTTGTCTTTATTTTTAGTTAGCACCTTAAAAGCTTAAAGCTGTAAGCTAATGATAGTTATATAAGAGCAGATGCTGCTGGTGCAATAAGCTGTAGTTTTACGTCCAGTGGATGATGATCTGATTAGTCGACTAATCGCATAAATAATCGGTGACTAGTCGACTATCAAAATAATCGTTTGTGGCAGCCCTACTGGGGACCACAGACTTTTGCACAGTACTGTAATTTAAGAAATGTTGTTATGAAAGTCAATTATTACAGGGAGATATTTGAAGTATGTTCTCTTTTCTTCATATTAGGTTGCATTTGATTGCACATATACACTTCAGGAGAAGTACAGTTTTGCATGCAGTGAAATGTGAATTGATGCTCTGCTGCTTCCAGCTCTGATTTGACTTTTCTCTTTTTCAGGTAAAAGTTAAGAGAACATGGAAGGACAGGGCTCTCCGTACTCAACAATATTCTCATTTGTCCCACTACTGCACATTCTGTGGCAAAGACTACAAAGGCTTGAATGTTATGAGACATGCTCTCTCGCACCTCAAAAGTAGGAAACTAAAATGCATTCTCTGCGGAAAACGCTTCAAACAGCTTCCTTTTGCCAAAAAGCACATTCTTGAGCACATTGATACAATGTGCAAACAAAAATCTTCTAATAAGGAGCCATCCATTGAAAATGCTCAAGCTGCTAATGGAGTAATAGACAATGCAGGAAATAAGTGTAAGCCTTGGGATAAAAAACAGACTATTTCTGAGGGCGAAACTTTTGGACAGAGACCCGGAAGCAAAGCTAAAGTGTCACATCTCAAGAGGGAAGAACGAATCATCAGGAACCTCCGTACCCTCATCAAGAAGACATCTGTGCTTCACAAAAAATGCAAAAAACCTAACACAAATATATTCAAACAGATCGACTTTAAGGATGAGCAGGTAATCATTAAAGAAGGCCTGGTAATTGTAAGTAATCCATCTGTGATTGAAGAAGAGGGGCAGGAGACGCCTGCGGGAGAAAATGCTTGTGGTGCAGACATCACATACCACTTGTGCCCGTCTGACTCCTGCGATAGAGTATTCTTGAGGATGACCAACACACTAACAAAGCATGCTATCAAATGCCATATTACTGAAGACAAGGTGCTAGAGAAGACTTTTGTTTGGGCCAAACACAAGTGCACCCTCTGCCTCAGGTAAGAGAACTTTAAATAACTGCAGATATTTAAAAAAAAAACAAAAAACGGTCTCTTAACTGATTGTAAAACACTAAAAGACTCCATACATGTACAGTTAAAGGGTTTGAATTTGGGAAGTTGATTCAGCATGTTGCGCACGGTTTTTTTTCTCTCTCAACAGGCAGATTCAGTTTCTTCAGCATTATAAGGACCACATGAAGAGCCACAGTAGTCCTCTTCCACACTTCTGCTACCATCTAGAGTGTAAGCAGCGCTTTGTGACACAGCAGGAATTAAAGGATCACGTAAATACCCACCAGCCCTTCCGACCTCAGTGTCCTTTCAGTGGCTGTGAGAAACTTTTCTCAAGTTATCTGGGTCTATATGACCATGAATGGAGGCACTATGTCCCAGTCCCGCAGAAAGACGAGCTAGAATTGGGACCCAGCAAACTGATAAAGGAAAGCGCTGAAGCTCCATGGAAACAGAGAGTGAAGGTCGAGGAGATATGGCTACAGAGTAAAAAGGGGCAGCAGGAGAGTCCCATTCCTGATGGTGAGGCCTCTCGTGTTGAGGATCTCACACTAATAAACAAAACTGATGGTGAGACTGGTGGAATAAATGCGCAAAACAATAATCTTCTTAAGTCTGATAACTATTCAGAGAAAACTGTTGCAGATCAGCACACAGATGATACCAAACCTACCATCAATGGATATGAAGATGTGAAAAGAAATGTTTCAGAGGGGTTCATGTCCACTTCTCACACTAACGCTGCTTCAGCGACTCCCACCAAAAGATGTCGAAAAAGACCAACTACTGTCGAGGTAGACCCTTTAAACGTCAGAGATCTTGAAGATATTTCTACTTTGGCCGAGGGAGTCCAACAGAATATAGCAGAGCCACACATTCCTGAGCACAAAACCTTCAAGCCCGAAGATCCCTCCTACGCAACTTTTGTTAAGGCCCCTTTCATCCGGCCACCTCCATCCACCTACCTGGATGAATCTGTGCTTTCAATGCGCAAAAGGAGGTCCACTGATGATGCTCCCAAGAAAATCATTTATTGGAGTCATAAGAAAAAGAAGGACCCTGATCCAGAAAAGGAGCAGCAGGTGGAGGATGTGGCCCCCGAGCATAAGATCAGACATCGCTGTGATAAATGCCTTTCCTCTTACAGCAGTCTGGAGGAGTTGCAGAAACACAAAGCCCTCAACACGTGCTCTTCCCTCTTTGGCTTTGATTCAGATGATGAAAGTAAGTTTGCTTAACTCCATTTTCTGACCCTGTGTTGTTTTTTTTTTTGTTGTTTTTTTTATTACCTTGAACAACCAGTAACTGTTTTTCCCCTTGCTGTTTTTTAGGTTAATATTTGCAGGAGTGTGAAGAGTTGCTGCAATTGGAATGGCTATTTCTGTTACTTGGCTCAGGAAGGTCCTTCATGACAACTAAACACTAAAATCCTTTCTTAATGATCAGTCATAGTGCTTAAGGCAAAGGAGATGTAAACCAGAAAATACCTAGTACCTAAAGTACCTAAAAACCAAATTTGGGTTGAAACTACACACAATATTTATTCACCCTTTTTTTTTTTTTTTTTTTTTAAAGCTAATTTGACCTGCTGACTTTGTCAAGTCCATGTAAATTTGGGAAATACACTAATTGTCAGGTAACGGGAATCTGAATAATGGACCCATTCCCTCTGCTGTGGTGTTCACGAGTCTTTGGAGACTGGATAAGAGAATGAATTCTACACACAGTTCATCATTGGAGGTGTGAATTGCAGTGTGCAAACAACATGTATGTTCTGTGGTCTTCCAAATGAGGCATAGACCACTTAGTTTGTATCGTAGAGCACTTGAGAACTTACTAGACATGACTGTAAAGGTGGATATCAGATGGCTGCATCATCGTAACTTTTGTACACTGTAAAATCTATTTTCTAAATAAGTCCTTAAAACCCCTGTCACAAATGCACATTTTAAACTAAGAAAATCATGTGGGTAGCAGTTGGGTGGGACTGGGGTTGCCTTTATTAAATTTCTCTAGTTGCGATACAATTATGTATTAGGGCCGTGGCCAAAACATTTGAAACAATGTAAATCTGCCTTCATTTTGTCAAACTTTCTGTACAGCGTATGCATTACTCACAATTCTGTTAGTGCCAAGACTGAATCAGTGTTCACACTGTAGGATGATAAAAACCATGTAACTAATACAGTACCAGCTTGCTTTAAAGTTTTTATTCTTTTAAGTTGGTTTAAACAATGATTGTGCATTTCTTTATGTAGAGTATTTCACATTTATCATATATGAACCTTTCAGGTGGTTGATCTGTTTAATACCTTTTTGATGTAATGTTTATATAAGACGATGCACTTAAACCTGCTTATTTATATGTACAAATGTCAATAGATTGGATTTGTAAAGGTATTGATTCCCCATCTATTTTTCTTAAAGAAAAAAAGTGATGAAATTTGTTTGAATAAACAAACTAAACCTCTGCCCTCTAGTGTGATCTGCTTTAAAGCTTAGGTTGCGTGCTGTGAGGTAGTATAGTAAAGGAAAACACAAACTCAGTATACGCATATAGGTCAACATTGCATATTTATTTATTTAGGGATGTAAATTTTTTTGTTGTCAATCCTAGGAAAGAGGAACAGTGATATTAGAATTGTTTAAAAAAGTTTTTTGCATCACATCTTCCTGATACATGAGGTATGTTTATTATCTTTTGGGGGGAAAAAAAACAAAAAAAAACGGGGAACATCTATAAACAAAAATCTTGTGTTGTTTAATTTAGTCCACAAAGTGTCTCCCACTCTTAACACTAATATAGTAAAGCCAAAGGTGCACTTTGTTGCTGAAGGCTGCATTCAAAGAAAAACTATAGACTGGTGTCCTCAAGTCTATACGCAGTAATCAGTGTATGCCTGACTTTTATCAGATGTGGTTTTTTACTTTGTGTACTTCGATATCTGACATTTTAGGTCCAAGCAGTTCTTATAGCCAAGCACACAGGCTGGGGGAAGAAAGAAAAAAAAAAAAAACACTAGCCAGCAGAGGCAGTCCTGTTATAGTTACTATTCAAGACTGAAGGGTATTCCTCTAACTCATGCAGCAAATGTGTTCCAGCTCTGAGACTAATTTAACCATTTGCTTTGGTGCTGCTTGTAGCCTTAACAAAAACACAGCAGTGTGCAGGAATCAAATGCTGAAAATGATTTTGCAAACAAATACAAACTATACAGAAATGCTAAGACTAGAAAACAACATGCAGCATACGATGCACTGATGACATCAAACAACCTGGTGTCAGATTTTGCTTTGACCTGAGATAAGAAAATCTTAATTAAGACGATGTGACACATTATAGAAACTTAATGGAACGTTATTGCACTGCTATGCAATGTACAATGAAGCACCATACTAAAAATTAATTTAAAAAAAAACCCCATGAAAGGCTAAGTTTAAAGAAAAGCTCAACTCCTAAATAAGAATAGTTTCTGTAAACTTGTTCAAGGTGAAACTAAATACACTAATATCCTATTGAATTAATGACCAAGTGTACATTTGGTACATTTTGGTAATGTACACTTCTAAAGACTTTTTTTGTCCAGTTTCTGTAGACATGCTGAAATAAAAAGCTGGATCAACAGCACATTATTCACATACAGACAAACAGAACAGCGACCTTGTGAAAAAGTACAAATATGTCTCAGTAGCATAAGTAGGCAAAAAAAACATGCAAAGTGTCAGAGTGCATCCCGAACGGGTTTGGTTTTGATAAATGTTTCATAATTTTCTTTTTAAAACAAATAACTGTGCTAAAAAACCCAAAACACAGTAATAGCACTTCTGCAATTTACAGTGGAATACCTGGATTAAAAAGAGGGTTGAAAAGCCACATAGGCTAACATGCATAGAGGAAGAATAAGTTTACCTATGGTTGATAGGAAGACAAACTGATCCATACATTTAAATAAAGTCTAAGCAGCAGACACTGGATATGTCTGTGTGTTCTACACAGTGTGCACACAGAAGCTGCTCCCTTTGCTGACGTAAATCAACTAATTGAGTGCATCCTATGCTGACCAACTAGGACAATAAGAGCAGCACAACCAGATTTCATTTGTCCCCTTTAAAAAAAAAAGCTCAGAGGTTGTTAACCGCAAACAAACTCAAAAAGGATCATTATTTACAAAATCTTCACCTTGCATTTCAGATTCTACAGCCACAAGCTGAGTTGTGACTATATAATATCCACACCTATATTCGATTTCATTTAAAAGATAAAAGGAGCAGCAGCTAATCCTTCCTTTCCCCACAGAATGGAAAACCAAACCATTTAAATATGTAGGTTGCAAAATGCTTAAATGAAGGACCAGAGAGAAGAAGGTGCAGTCTGCTGCACATGAATGAGTGTTTTTCTTTAAAGTTCAAAAGGTTTTCTTATGGCTTATAAAAGCAGTATGTTTGATAAGCCAAGTTATCGTTTCCATCTGCTATAAATATACGCACCACATGAATAGCTCAACCAGTGTTGAACTGGACAGAGAGGAATGGGATCATCTATGAGTCCTGAGTGGCTGACATGGAAAGGAGAGCCACAACTATGGTTACAGATAATAAAATATGTTTAGTGTGCATTTGATGCTATCAAGCTGCTGGAGTACACCATTCATGTGTAGAAAATACTGAGATGATCTTACCAAATTCTCTAGTATTTACACAGCATCAAAAGATGGGGTGTAGGAGCTTACAATGAGAGCAGAATGTGCTCCTCATGTCACAGGGACATACATTATGTTCTGTATAAAACATACGCATGGTTAAGAATAAGCGTTTTTCCATTTTGTACAGATTCAATCAGAAGACAATGGACGTAAAACATGTAGACGTACATACAGGTAGGTGTGAATGCATTTGTGTGTGAGCTCAGTGGGTGCTGTTGGAGCTCCAGTCATAAGGGAGAAAACTGACTTTGGTCTTTCCAGCAGAAACGACGCCCTGCAGGCTGGTCTTCTTTGGTGAGTCACCCATGTGATCCAGCACCCATCCCAGCAGCTATGAGATAGAAGGGGATGCAACAAAAAAAAAAAAAACATTAAAAAAAACAATTCATCTATTTTTCCTACAAGAAAAATTCAGGATCCATACATGTGCACACATACAGCTATTAAACTTAAAAATACCTTCTCATCCGTGCCTCCAAAATCAGCTTTGTACCACTTAAATATCTGACTTAGGTGCACTTCTTTTTTTACAGAATCTACCACACAGGCGTAATCATTCTCCAGGAAGGCCTCGGCTGCTGTGCGGAGCTGGCTGTCAATGTCCTGAGAGGGGCGAGCACATAAGAATTAATTTCTGACCATTCAGGGTGCCGCGATTATGGGAGACATTATAAGAGGCAAGACTTGGGAAACCTGATATGAAATCTATGGGACAATTTCACAACTGTAAAAACTGTGACAGAAGAGGGAGTTTCCAAGTGTATTTATTTTAGCTAAGCCTTCTCAGAATCAAAAAAACTAAAGCGAAATCACTTACTTGTGGTGTGTATGTTTTAATAGGTGGACAGCCCTTTGCACCACAGTTCAAGGCAAAGTGAATCAGTGGCTCAGCATCTGGAAGTGCCACCTAGTGGACAACAAGAGACATGACCTTTAGTTAACTAAAGAAAACTGTCACCACATAAATTCAGCTATCAAAATGTGAATACTTGAAGTCGTGGGTCCGTTTTGGAGAAGGGTCTTCGAAGCTGTGCGACACCTTTTCTGTTCCCTCTAAGAATGCCATTCTCAATGTCCTGCAGCGTGAATACCTCTCCTCCAATCAGGTAGCTCACATAATTGAAGAACTACAATTCAAAACATTCCTAATTTCAGCACATAAGTCTTATTGATATTACAAAGGAATTCTGGGGGAGACAGTGTAGCTGTGTAGTCCTACTCTGTATCTTTGCCACATGTTGGTGGGAGCCCCTAGGCGTAGGTACCCATGGATGACTAAGGCATTGTAGATATTGATGAAGAAGGCCAGCTTCTCCTCCCGGCTAAGCGACAGCAACTCCACCCTCTGCAGCTGAATAGCTAGCTCACAGTAACGCTCAAAAACAGGATTTGCTGACATGCCTTTATAGTCCACAGACTGTGGGAGCATGGACACAAAGTACATGCATTTAATTTAACCGTTTGTACAGGGATAAAGTAACAGAGAAGCATTATCCTGTCAAAATATCTTGACAAACAACCTTGAATGTAGGTCACAAAAAGACCTGCAGTGAAAAATACAGTAGAAATGTTTGCAGACAAGTTTTTTCTGTTTGCCAAAGTGAAACTTCATATGAACACACAGCTTGCCCAGTGCAACAGTACACACTGTGTGGCACAGATCCAAATGCACTGTTGCTTTTACAAAATAGCAACATGCACTCAGTGAGCATCAGGGACAACATTACCTTGCCATCGGCAGAGAGATGCTCCGAGAACAATTTCAGAATCATCTCCCGTAAAAGCAAAGAGAGCTCAGTGGCTGGCAGGAAGACAAAGAGAGAAAAACATGAAATAAAAATCAACATAGTTCAGAGTCAAAATATTAAACAAGAGCTGGGAAAAAACAAAACAAAGAAAAAACAAATTGTGCTTTTTATCAGGCGCTATAGAAAAAAAGGAAGCTGGGTAAAATCCTGCTGGTATCATGGTGTGACTCTACAGGTTCTACAAGTGTGCAGCTTTCAGGTATAAACACGCCAACACAGAGCCAGCCAATATGACTCACCACCACCATTGCAGAAGTAAAGGAATATCTGACAGGAAATTAAAACCAAGTATTAATTTGACCCAAGCCCACAGCAAAGCAGGAAACTGTTGTGAAACAGCCAGCAGCTGACATTGAAATCCAGCTAGGTTCTTTGCAGCCTGATACACTTTATGCATAATATCATCATAAAGCATTATTTATGATCAAATATAGTTTATTTATTTAGTCTAAATTTGCTAAATTATGTTAATTCACTGATGAAGACAGTGAGTTTAAGTATTTTTTTAAAATACTGCATAGATTTTCAAGACAGAGAATGCGCTCAGTCACGCAGGCGTTGCAAGCTAATGAGCGAATGATGTTTTTATTGGATACACCATATTTCAGCTCTTAAAGCCACAAACCCAGAAGGATCATATGCTAAGTTAGCAGCAAAGAAAGGACATGGGTTAGTAGAGTGCTGAAAGACACTGCTCAGAGTGAACCTGAAATGCGATACGTGCACACTCCAAGCCTTATCTGGTCCTGACGTACCCTGCATGGGACTGCAGGTTGAAGTCTGTCCTGCGTTGAGAGCTGAATCATCCTCCAGTAGCCTGTACAGTGCATCCATGGTGTCTTTTCCTTCGCCAAAATTGCCATCCTGCTGCTCACAGCCATGAACTCTGATCATGTACTTCTTCTTCAACAATGCCTGTCCAGTATTACAGGCTGCAGCCCTGGCTAGTGTACACATAGCCACAATCAAGTGCTGACAGAACTGAATTTGACTATGTTTTGTAAGGATAGGGGCGCTTGGAAAATTGCATGAGATTTTACCCATATCACTGACAGCCTTACTTACCCATGCCCTTCTCTTTTTGCAGCCAGTCAACCAGCTGACTTCCTGAGAAGCTCTTTTTGTATAAAGTCAGCCCCCTCCTATGACTGCCAATCATGCTGGCATGTTTGAGGTCTTCCACTAGGTCTGCCAACTCATCTCTCTCACACGTAAATTCTACACGCGTGGAATTTCCAGGTCACACATGTATAAACACACAGAAATATAATCATGTTCACACATGTATGAAAGAATTTGATAAACGATGTAGTTCTGCATCTGTGAAAAAATGTCTCGCTGGTGAGAAAAGGTATTGCCTGAGCTGGGTAAACTTCTGGCTTCTTTCATTTCAACACAGCAGCATTGCTTTGGTTTGTAAATGAGATTTTTGGAATATACACTACTGAAGAGGAATTAAGTAAATGTGTAACTGTGTATATATGGCACAAGCATTACTAAGATTTTTTTTAAGCATCAGACCTCAGTCCTGTCTATTATATAAAGTCTGACAGGGATCACAGAGACAAATCATGTTTCCAAAGAAATATTTACACGCACAAATGGCAATTTCATTCTTTCTTCTCCCCCCCCATTATATTGTACACTTACCTGCCACTTAATTAGGTACACCAGTTCAACTGCTCATTGATGCAAATATGGAATCAGTGAATCTCATGGCAGCAACACAAGTCTTTTAGGCATGCTTCTGCAACATTTGGATGGTTAGAATCTGGTATAAGGAACGTATTGTATAATATGGTTCTGACTGTATATGTAAAGGGTGTCATTGTTAAAAAGGCAAAACTGTAAGTACTCCAATAGTCTATACATCTGTGCAAACACTAAATAAAACTGCTCTATCAGAAGCAGCTCACCTATATTACACCGACTACAATCTGATGACTTGTTCTGCTCTTCAGTGCATTATCGTTAGGTGCCAGAGATGTATGTGTAGTACCACGTACTGTTGATTTTAATTAAACTTCACAAAAGCTAACATTAAATTTCAATATTTTTCTACAAACACTGTTTACACTGTACATATGAGGTGCTGTGGGGCAGCCCAGCACTACTAGGCTTATCCAGAGTTTCAGGTTTCCTGTATCAACTGTCCGTGTTGGCATTTGGAGGAGTAGAGGAGCATGGATGTAACACACACACACACACACACACACACACACACACACACACACACACACACACACACACACACACACACCTGATGTTGCCTAAAAATGGCTTTTTCACTACATCAGCCAATGCTATTTCATAACCACTCTTTGCTCTTGGCTCACCTTCAGCCAACAATGACTATGCATAACCGGACACGCTGACTTCAGACCATGCTTGTCTATTTCTTGAAAGATAGGCAGTTAATATACTAAAATATCAGAAGGTATTTTACAAATATATTTAAGAACCGCATTAAAATGTGCCTTAAGAGCATTTTTGACTGTAAAGGGAAGGAAAGGAAAGTAATGATCTTAAGCAGGCAAAAACTCTTAAGAATTAATTCCTTACCTCCTTCGTTCTCTGAAGCTGTATGCTCTGACTGACTCTGTTGTGGCAGAGGTGGTGCATCTGCTGGAAGGGGCTCTTCCTTCACCAGACTTACCAGCCTCTGAAGCTCTTCAGGTGACTACAGAAATTACAGTATCAATTCAAATTAGTTTTTCTCCCCCATTTTTGGACATTGCTTGACCTCTTAGTTTACTGGTCATTAGGGACCAGTAAACTAGTGGTATCGTCAGAAATGTTTTCCTTTTCCTCACCAGTTTCTGCAGGTCGTCGTTACCTCCAACATGAATATTGTTAAAGAAGATCTGAGGGACTGTGCTGCGTCCTGTCAGCTCCTTCACCTTTGCTCTCAGCTCTGAATGACTACCGAGGTCTATGTCACATACAGGCACTCCCAAGCCAGCAAGGGTGGTCTTGGCCTGCGTGCAGTGTGGGCAACCCTGGATTGAATACACAGTTATTCGCCCAGGAGCACTGCTCTCATAGTCTCCCATCGGAAATACTAATGGAAAATCAAGAGAGAAAGATTTATACAATTTGAAGAATGTATGCAAAAATAGATAATCCCTAAGCAGAAAACATACCCAACATGAAGCACACTTTTGGCCTCCTCAATTTGTACAAAATGTAATAAACTCCTTGAAATACAATTATCTAGTTTTAGGCTTTGTGTACATATATCTAGTGTATACTGTTTATATGTCCTGCCCCTGTGACCCGGCCCCAGATAACCAGAAGAAAATGTATGGATTGTCTCTAACAACACAGAAAAGTATATATATTGAAAAGTATATATACACAGGTTGAAATATATAGATACACCGCCGCTAATATTAAGTTAAGTTTCCCTTAGCAAGTTGCACCTCAACAAGACACTTTTGATATCCATTATGCTTATGGCATAACTGTGCCTAGATATTAGACCACTATTCTTGGCAGAAGTAGTCCACACATTTTCAATAAGTTTGAGGTCAGGGCTTTAGGAAAGTCAGTCCAGAAGCTTAATGTTTAATGCTTAATCCATTTCAAAACTAGTTTGAATGTAAATGGTAAATGGCCTGCATTTGTATAGCGCTTTTCTAGTCCCTAAGGACCCCAAAGCGCTTCACACTACATTCAGTCATTCACCCATTCACACACTGGCGATGGCAAGCTACAATGTAGATGTTTGTTTGGGACCATGGTGGTGTTGGGACATCCAGTTATATTCAAGTTTTAACTATCTAGCTGTTGATTTGAGGTGAAGTTGAAGAATTTGAAGGCAACCTCGTTCATTATTCCCAGCCCCAGAGCATGATACTACCACCACTAGACACTGGCAGTTTCTTCCTCCTGCTCATTTCTTAATATTTCCTTGTGTTGAAAGCTGGCCAGTGTGATGTGCATGTCCTGCGAAATGATTTTTTTTTTTTGCAATGACACAGTTCCTCATTCCTTCTGACAGCTTTAGCTTTGAAGTCTATCAATATTTGTCTATGCGACCCAGATGCTAGATAAAAACCAGCAGGAATAGGTCAATGTCTAAGGTACGTTTCTGTGTCATTGAACGTACACATGTCAAATCCCCTGATTTGCTCTCGACAGAAACCTCCAGATCTAATCGCGTTACCACGATCATACACTGATTTCAAGAAAAGTATCAAACTGTAAGATGTAAGATAGTTCAATTCAATAAGACCAAAGATAAACAGTAAATACCAACGTGTGGTTGAATGTGAATCCCGACAGAAGGGAAAATAATATTACATACCCTAAAACATTACTGTAAGTGGACCAGCAGTTTAACTGAAAAAACTAACAAGAATGCCTAAATGTTTAAGTGACATGTAAATAAGCGGCACTGCACTAACAACATACCAGCTAAGCTAAACGAATGGATAACTAGCTGAGGGTAAATTAGCAAATGATAACAGTACATTACCTTTCGGGTTCACTAGCTTCACAGTACGATATTAAACTGGAGAACGGATCCTCTTAGCCTCGTTAAAGCATGTTAATATGATAGCGTGACGCCAGCTAAACAGGCTGACCAGCTCTCCCGTCCGAGCATCGCTACTGCGCAGGCTAGCTGCTAGCTTGGTTTATGATGCCTTCAGGAGCTCACCGTACACTTCAAATTTCAACGATTGATATTTTGGTATTTATTCTAATGAGCCTCTAATAACTCAAAGAAAAATGGAGAAAACTTCCCTTTTTTTACGTAATAATTACCATAAAACGTGTCAGTACACAGCACCAGTTTCCCTGAATGATACAGCAGAAGACACTGCACTCTCTAGCTCCTACTTATTAGTGAGAGCAAAAAGTAATGGAAAAAATGTCTTTTGTTTGTTTTGCTTTCTGTAAGTAAATATCAAGATTCCCATATTTTTTACAAACCTAAAGGCAGCGAAAGCCCTTCTGTACTACATTCGTGTTCACTCTGTTATCGTAATTTCTAGCTCTTACGGTGACAATTGCGGTGTTGACAATACCTTAAGTTATCTGCCCTCCGAAATATTGCGAACGCATCAACGTAACATAGCAACCAGTGTTTTGAACGGATCCCGTTCCCACTACTGCTTGTTTCCGTACGGAGAGATTTCTTGCAGGACTCGCATGGACGAAACCGCCCCAGTGTTTTCGTTTTGCCAAAAATGTCAGGACTATCAGAAACAGAGCGTGCTGGATTTACGAAGATACTGAGCCTAATGACAAAATGCGACTTACTGTCACTCAGTGATACGGTCACGAATAAGATGATAGTCGTGGAAAACATTACGGGTAAGACTTTTATTCAATTTCATATGGCAAAGAGGAAGTCAGCTTACTTCTCTTTACTGGAGCCCAGTGAGTTACATAATGTCCTTAATCAAGAGATTTGTTGTATACCTACCAAGAAATAACAAATAAATTGCATGAACAATTTCAGTGTTTTCTCACCTCTGCTGGATAGATAAATAAATGATTAGCTTATCCTACTCTGTCTGATCATTTTTCCACTGCAGAAGCTAAAGAAACCATTCTCGCCTTCACTAAAAATGCCGAAGAGCTCCTGAGGAGGAAAAAGGTTCAGCGTGACCTGATATTCAAGTACCTGGCTACAGAAGGTGTGGCGATGCCCCCAAATAGCGAGAAACACATGCTTATAAAGAGGACCCTGGAGCTGTGGTCCTCTGTAAAGGTAACTTGACACACGAGAGAAACAGAAGCCACTGCCGCCAGTAAATGTTTTATTTGGGGATAAGCCAAAGGCGACCCATCTATTTTATAAAGGATGGAAAGTATTGTTTATTGAATAGTGAAGTTCAGTGAAGTGAAGACATGGCACTGATGTTGGTATGCCTGGAAAGAGAAGACATAATTAGGGTTATTCACACACAGTGTCCTCACACACCTTTATAACAGTTTATATATTGCTTTGAAAAAGTAATCACCGAACAACAGACTGTGCCACCCTTGGCAACAAGAACTGCAATCAAGCAGTTTTGATATTGAATAGGCCATTCCAAAAACTTCATTTTATTTTTTTTGAGCTATTTAGAGATGGAGTTCCTGTTGTGTTTTGGATCCCTGCACTGGTGCATAACCCTAGTGCTCTTGAGCTTCAGGGTGCAAATTGATGGCTGGACATTCTCTGGATTTTCTGGTAGAGAGCAGAATTCATGGTTCAATCAGTCAGGGCAAGGCATCCAGATCCCAAAGCAGTCCCAAATGATCACACTACCACCACAGTGTTTGACTGCTGCTGGGTTTTTTTGTTTTGTTTTTGTTTTGTTTTTTATGAACTGCTGTGTAGTAGTTCTACACCAGATGTAACAGGATGCAAACTTTCCAAAAAAGTTAATATTTTGTTTTGTCAGTCCACAGACTATTTTCCATTGTCTTGACAATCAGAAAGATGTTTCTGTTTTTTGTTTTTTACTTAGGGCCAGGTAGGGTTGGATAGCTTTTTACTCATAATAAATGCAAACATCATTTAAAGACAGCATTTTTGTATTTACTCTGGCTATCTTTGACCAATACTAAAATGTGTTTGATGATTTGAAGCATGTAAATGTGACAAATATGCAAAAAAATAAGAAATCAGGAAGAGAGTGCTGTTTTTTTTTTTTTACAGCACTGTATATTGATATTAGAATTTGTACTTCCCAAAATTCAGGGTCAACACCAGCTCTAAAATCAAGCCTTACTCAGACTTTATATTTTAGAACCTGTTGCCATTCCATCAAAGAACTGACCTTCTAGCTAATATGGGTGTAGTGCTCTGACTTGTAGAGACTGAAGATCATATGTAACAACAACCTCTCATTTCTTTATGGAGGTGGTGGATGAAAACCCTCAAGGAGAGGCGGCTTCCTCAGATGTGAACTGTGGGATGGGCTTTGATCCACTGGTCCTCGGCCAGCAGTTCTGTCAGTGGTTCTTCCAGCTGTTGAACAGTCAAAACCTTTCACTTGGCCAACAGCCCCAAGACTGGGGACCACAACATTTCTGGCCTGATGTGAAGTTACGTCTCCTCTCCAAGTAAGAACCTCATTAGTAGTGAAAGCAAATGAGAATTTAAATAATACTGATGTTGTTGGTTTATAATCTTATTCAGAGTAGTCCTCTGTTTCAGGTAGATTATTCCTTCTGATTTTCTTCTTACAAAGCATAGAGATGAAGGTAAAACAACCCCAAAACACTAATAACAGCGTTATGTCTTTCTCAGAGCTGGCAGTGAGCAGATGGAGGAGTTTCTGGGTGCTGATCTGGTTAGTTGTCGATTCTTGGCACTGACCAGGGATGAGCGTCTCCTCTTTAGTCCCAATTTGGATCCCCATGGCCTCAAAGCCTTGACCTCTCGTCATGGCTTGGTGTTGGTGGCTGTGGCTGGGACTATTCACAGAGATTCAGTCTGTCTGGGAATCTTTGAACAAATATTTGGCCTTATCCGCTCTCCTCTGGACAACAACAGCTGGAAGATAAAGTTTGTCAACCTGAAAATCAGAGGGCAGGATGCTCTTAGTGGGACAGATGTGCCAGCACCTGCTTTGACCTACAATTCCAGTGAACTGCAGCTTCTCTGTAGCTGACAGTCAAGATAGATTAGTTTTAGATTTATTAGTTTTATTTCCTTTCACATTATTTATCCAAAAGTGGTGGTTTGGCCTTTTGGTTCTACTCTACACTCATCTTATTTGCATGAACACTTATTTTCTGGGCATTTGGGACCTCATATTGCATCTAATAACTCATCTGATACAACCCTATCTTCTAACTTATAGGCTGTCATGCAATAATATAAAGGTAGACTCAAACTGATGCATTTAAATTGAATATTTGCATCATAACATGCAAAGCAGAATTCTCAAAGATTATCCTAGAAGGTAAATGGATGGGCTGCTTTAAATATACTGTACCTTTTTGCAAAGCATGTAGTGCTTTGGAAGCCTGTGCCTTATGTAAAATATGTTCAATGTATACATTTGTGGTATAGTAACAGTTATACTGTCACTCAAAAGATCTCTTAGAAATGTATTTTTTAGGAAAGAAAAGCACATTAAATTTTATTTCAGCTGTAAAAATGAAAAGAGTTGTAAGTGACTATGGTTTTTAATTGACTATGTTCATGCAGAGCAGCCAGCATTTCAGTGTCACAGCAGGACATTGAGATGCCTAATGCAGGTTTATAATGCTAATAGGCTTTTTTTTTTTTCTGAGATGGCACAACTGAAAGCAGTTATACTTGTTCAAAAAACAGTAAGCAAGAATAGGTATCAGCCTTTGCATGTTTTATTGTCTGAACAAAAGCAACCAAATATCTTCTGAAACTCTTCAGGTTATTCTCGTTTAAACAAATTCATGCTTTTTTCATGCTGACAGTTGTTAAAATGCATCTTCCCTCACAGAACACAGCAAACTAACACAGCAGTTTTATCCGTGCCAACATAACTGCAAAGGATTTAACATAAACTTGCATTAGGCAGCACAATGTCCCAACAGATGGTTGTAGAAAATGGGCACCTGTGTGATATGTAGGCATTTTATTCAAGTTGTTCGCAATTCCTTTAATCGGTGCCATTCACAACATTTCTCAATAATTTACTGTTGGATTAAATTTAATTTTGAATGTATGTTTTTTTTTTTTAAAGGAGTTTTATGAGTAACAAACTTTTGAGATGTAACGTAGCCATTTATTAACAAATAAATATCTGTCTTTATGTGACACTACAAAGTCAAGCAGTGTGCTTTCATGGCTTTTCATCCCACAATGTTTACAGATAAACAGTCTGTTAGAAATACCAACAGAGTAACATAGTTCAGAAAAAGTCTAATATTTAGACAAATGTGCATATAAAAATATTATAATTTCAGCTAATTTGTTCCTGTTCAGTGCCAGGTGTTAAGTGGTTTAATTAAATGGCTGGAAGTTGGAGATTGGAAAACATTGCTGTGAAACTGACTCTCCTTAATGAACTGAATTACAAGTCTAAATGGTGCTTTTTAATTTTGCTGTTTTAAGGATCTCCCAGAACAGACAGTTATACTTTTTTTTCTGCTGCTTCCTTTAGGGGCAATCAGAGTAGCTCATCTGCTTTTATCTCACCCTGTCCCTACCCTCCTCCGTGTCTGTCACATCAACCCTCTGCATGTCCTGCTTCCCTACATCTATTAATCTTCTCTGTGGTCATCTTCTTTAGCCCCATATTCAATGTCCTTTGTCCAGTTTATCCACTCTCTCCCCTCTGCACATGTCCAAACCCTCTCAATCTCGCTTCTCTAACTTTGTCTCCAATCCGCTTAACCTGAGCTCTCCCTCTGATGTACTCATTTCTAATCTTGCCCCAATGAAAATCTTCAACTCTGCCACCTCTCAGTGTAATGCATATACCGCTGAATCACTTGCAGGTTGACTGGTTTTTTGGTACCAAACTCGTCATCCTACTATTCCCAGCACTTGTTTAGAAAAACTGGCTTTGTGGCATTTTTAAATTGTGACCAAACAGTGCAGCTGTGGGCAAAATAAAAACATGCTCCCTTTTGTCTAGGAATTGTGTTTGTCAGCACAACGTTTGCCTGATGAATCTAAGACAAATTTAGCTCAGGTTAAACCACCGCAGTGACAGTCAAACAGGTGATGCCCTTGAATATTAGAGAGATAACCTCAATGATCATCTATGAGCAAGCGCTTGGCAGTGGCAGAAAGGAAGACCCTGTTAAAAGGAAGAGACCTCTGGCACAGGTCTTAGGGAGGGACAGTCATCTGTTTCGGAGAGAGTAGGAGAATGTAGAGAGACCCCGACCAAACAAAGCATTTGAAAGAGTACACAAAAGTTGATCACATGCAGTAGTACTATATGAATGCATCAGGAGTAAAAAGATGAGTTGAAAATTGGTGCAATCATGTAGGCTTGCTCTGCCAGCTAGCCAGAGCCGGCTATCATAGAGTATATTATAGCCTGCCATTGCTGCTGTTCACTCGTAACTTTTAAAACTCAAATCTCCACAGGGTTAATGTCTGAGATGTTGTGTCAGCGGTTAATGTCCACATATTTAGCCACTTTCATACTCTTTGAGTAGGTTTGATTGCACACAAGCTGCCACACCACCCTAGAAGGGCTTTACTGGTTGGTCAGACATTTCATATACAAATATACATTTACTACCTGTGGTCAGGAAAAAAAGAAAACTCAGTGCTATTGGTCTTGCCTTTTTTTTATTGGACCAAATGGCACATGACATGAATTCATCTAGACCCGCTTCAGACAGCTGCGGATTTGAAATTTTGCTGGATGGGATGAAGAAAGCAGATCGCTTTTCCACACAACGTGCCTAAGATCATTTTACACGTTCAAACTCACCTGTGCTGATATCATGTTATCAGGTATATGTGCTATATGCTAAACATGTGACCTGTATCAATGCTTCTTTGCATTTGTCTCTGAAGCTTGTTCTAGTGTGACTTTTGAAAATAGTTTGGCAAAGCTCGTTAATACTCATGGTACAAAAACTGGGTCACATTTGAGCAACACCCGAGCAGCATCCAGTTCTTGCTTTTTTTCTCCTAAATGTTTTTTTTCAGCCATCTGTATATAAAAAATAAAGACAAACGTGACTCCTTATTAATGAAGTGGATCTGTTTTTCCATCGATTCTCCTGCGTCACTCTAGCGAGGGCATGTGGGGTCTAGTGGGGGCACAGAATATGCCAGTATGACTCTGTGGCTTTGGTGGGAAATGTTACATGTGGGAAATTATTCTTGGCAGCCTCTTTCAAAGGCCCCTGGAATACTTAATATCTGTGACTGTATGGGTCGGAGCCACACGGGTCTTTGTGCTTTATAGGGCCATAGTTGTGGCGAGGCGAAACCACTGCAGCCATTGATCTCAGCCTGTTCACCTCTCAGAAAGAATAATAACAAGCTGCTTGCCTTCTGTCTTTATGGCACTTGGCTTCTCTGCGTTTTAATAAGCGGTTTGGCCACGGGCGCAGCTCTGACGCACGGGTTCAAAAATACCGCTGCAGTGGCGTCTGGTTAGAGTTTTGACTCCAGAGAGTTTCCCCCCCCCACACTTTTCGCTTTACCCTCCTCTAATAGAGAAGTGTGTTTCTTATAAGGAAACATGCTAAAACTCAGACCCACAGTTATTTGAAATAGCTTATTGGTGGTGAACCATAGAAACTGCTTCTTTAATTGTAATTACATTTTTTTTTCTCTTTTACAACTGTTGAGATATATGTTGTGCTCCTAGAAGAGACCTCATTAGGGGTGACTTTATTTATTGCTGAATGCTGATAGGCTGATAGATTTACAGATTTATTGATGCCCAGGTGTTTTCCCCTCCCTTCCTAAATGGCTTTAGCTGTAATGTTTAAAGTTGAACCCACGGACTCCCAGTGTCTTCTCAAACCATTTAACAAATCCTTGAATTGGTTCCAGGCATTTTATACATGTATAAAAATGATCTTGATATTTTACTTTACTGGAAGAGACTACAGTGCACTTGTAGTCTCATGACAACATGAGGCCAGAAGGGGGCACTCAAACTCCACAAAAAAAGGGCAAGGCTGAGCCACAGGTCACAAAAAGCAGAGGAAAAAAATAGGACTTTTAAGATCACGGAGGAAACTAATCAATTCATAAGAGCAATCTAAGCTGAGCTTATGTTACTGGGCAATTTCTATATGGCTGCATCCGTGAGGAAAACTGTAAATATTTCAAGCTTGAATTGTCCTCCATTAAAGTAATGGGGTTCTAAAAGAGAGAACTGTTGGCTTTCATAGGCAGTAATTTATCTGGACCGGTGAAGGTGTTAAGAGACAGCTTTGACACAATATTCTCTGCGGTCTGCATTCTCTGGACAACAAAGAGCAGGATTTATGAATTGAAAGCAAAAAGAAAAATCAACTAGTGGCCAATGACATTTCTCCTGCTGACAAAACACATTAGAGGAGAATTCAATCAAAGGTTGACAGTTATTTTATCATCTTGTTGGACTTGCCCTCCAACCCAGCAGTGTTTCATAAACCTGCACACACTAAAACTGCACAGAAACAGCTACATAACTTGAGGCTGAGGAAATGAGGTCAACATTGTTTGGTGTTAAAGTCTCACTCTGTCGTTCTGCAACGCCATATTTCATCCAGTTGTGTAGAAGGGTTCCATTTTTTTTTTTTTTTTTGCGGGGCTGACACACAGCTGTGCAATTTATGCTGATTATTCAGCACGTTTTCTCCCACTGATAACTGCACTGAATCATCGAACGTCTTAAAGCAGGAATTGATGGATGCTGGGTCAATATGAATAATAGGATTTGGACACCTTCAAATCAAAATCTGTGATTGGTGGGAGGGGACTATGGTTAGCCAGCAGCTGTATATCTGGTGATATAAAATACAAAGAAGTCAATAAGATCAAATGAATAGAAATTGCATACTGGGTTTCGTGGTCAGAGCATATTGACAACATCATTTAGAAAATTGCGAAAGGTATAACAATGTTAATTGTTTTGCTCCCTTTGTTATAAGAATGCCATTAGCTCATCTGCAGTATTGCTGAGCGATATGGTCTGCCGCTCCTAAGAGAGACTCAGGCAGAATAAGGTATAACAACTGTCAGGTTTAGTTTTCTTGTCCACACAACAGCAGCATCACTGAAATCCACAGCAGACAGCATTGGTTCGGTGTGGAAGTTAAACTTATAGAGGAAAGCAGGTACACCTCGCTCATTTTCAAGCAAACTAACTGCTGTGGCTAATGCAAATCCAAATAAATGAAGCTAATGAGAATGTCATTAAATCCCATTTTATCCACTTACTTCTTGCTACAGTGTAATTGTAATCCCCTGGAAACATTTACATTTTAAGTACATTACACAAACGAGGAACAAGTTCAACAACATCGTCCCATCTGTAGAGTCATGTTTGACCTCGTGGCCTTTTAGCCTTTCTTGGGAATGTGCATGAGCGATTAATTGCTCTCTGCGTGCATTATAGAACAACGCTGCAGGATCTGACTTTATTACGGTATGTTTGAACTGACATCACTGCTCCGTTTTAACACAAATTGCTTTGGACCTGACGAGGCAGCCGTCACAGTTCATAACAAACCCCTCACTTGGCCTGGCAGTGTATCCTTACACATGCATCATTATCTCATGTAAACAGTGGAAATGAGAGACCGCTGGGGGAACGAACGTCATTCAAGGCAACAAAGCGAGGGCTCAGTGAAAAGATCCTGGGCCGTGACACTCTCGTTTAGCGTCAATTAGAGGAAACAACAAGCAGACCTGTTCCTGAAGGCATCTGGATCTGATGTGTTTATTTATACTTAAGCAAATATGCATACTTGAAAGAATGCATGCATTCAAGGATGTTTCAATCGGAAAAACATGGAGGCAGTGTGGGGGCAACAAAAATGTCCCTCAGATTGTACTTGATGTACTTGAGCTGAGCTTGCACACAATGCCCTCCCCACTTCTCTCTCACTTTATCTTTTTGTGTTCCTCTATCTCTCTCTTTCACACATAGTGGCTCCAATGTGCTGCTTTGCAATGAGTCCCTTTCGTATGCAGTGCAGGGGCCCCCATGAGTTCCTTCCCTTGGCTCTCAAACTAAACAGAGAAGATGGTGTTATCTAAATGCTGCCAGGAGGTTGTCAGCTTGTATTGGGCCAGGCTGACCAAGTGGCCTGTTGGCGGATGCGTGTTGATGCCAGGCTCCCAGCGCCTTCTCTCT